GGCATTGACAGGACATGTGGGACAGGGATACAGGCCAGCTGCAGCGCAGACAGGACATTTCCCCATGAAAGGAGAAAGGTGGGCAGGGCGGCCCTGGGGATGAAGCTTCTGGGATTGGGTTCAAGAGGCCAGAGGAAGGAGCCTGGGCTGCCAGCCGGTGGCGCTGGGCTGGATAGTAGCTGTGACCCCAGGCACGTCACAACCCTCTTAGTGTCTGTTTTCTCCACTGTCAGGTAACGGGATGGGATTGCTAAGGACGCTGCCAAATCTACAAAAGATTTTAAAGATCTGCTTAGATTTCATGGTAGGAAGTAACAGATCCTGAGCATTTGCAGGGAATCTTGGTTCTTCGTCTGCCAGGGCACCACAGAAATCAGATTAGCTCTCAATTAGTGATGATGAGAGCAGGCTTTACGGACAGACCTGCTGGCATTCAGTCATGATTCTACCCCTTCCAAGATGCATGGCCTCGGGCAAGGCATGTACAGTACCTCTCAGAGTCAGTTTCCTCTTTGTAAAGTGGGGACAGTAACAGTATGTATCTCACATGGTGCTCTGAGGAGTCAGTGAGTCAATATATGTTGAGGCATACCTGGCCCGAAGCAAGTGCTGTGCAGTGGGCACTTTGCTAAGTGCTTTTCTTAAATTCTCTTATTTAACCTTCATAGTAAGGTGACTGGCCTTTGATAGAGTGAATCAGGCTCAGACACTAAGCAACTTAACCTTGAATTCCTACAGGTCACAAACCAGGTGGGACCCAGGAGGGTCTGATGGGGCCTCGTGCTCTTAGCCACCTCATCACGATGCCCCCATGTCACAGGAATTAGGTAGAGGGAGCTCCTTTAGGAGATGATGACGCAGAAGCCTCCCAACCCTGGATTCCCATCTTCGGGCAAGTTTAGAAGGAATTAGGAAGGAACCTGGCGCATGTGACTGGCTGCATCCATCAGGCGTCTGTGTGAAGACAGCTCACAATGTCCTGGCAGGACCCATCCATGTCGTCTTGAGGTCAATTTTACAAACCCAAACATTGAAAGGTCCAATCAACGCTCAGTGCTCACAGTACTGACTCCTGGGGTCCAGGGAACCTGTCCCTGGCCACCAAAGCAACCCCCCAGCTCATCCTCAAAAGGCTGTGTTAGGTGTGAACATTTTGACAGAGATTTTCAAAGATAATCTGGGAGACTGAACAAATTTTAAGCACTAGTCACACAAGCTGGACAGTTACTCAAAATTCATTGCCAGTTTCCAGGGCCTCAATTTCCTCATCTATAAATTGGGGATGATAGCAGCCTCTACTATCTGAAGATTTCATGAGATCAGGCAGGGAGCCTGGCACACTGCAGACATTGAATAAGCCAGGTGCTCTTTCTCCAAACAGCCCTCTTCTTGCAAGTCCTCCCTCTTTATTCTTGAGTACACCACTTCAGAGAAGGCCGTGAGGTTGCCCTACAGATTGCAGCAAGAGTCATGAGTCAAGTATTTGAGAGCCTATTGTGTGCTGGGCCCTGGGCCAGAATGGCAGAGGGCACAGGAAAAACACAAAATCACATGCTTTCCTCTCAAACAAATGCTGTCTCCGACAGTCACAATATTAAAGGCTTTGCAATATAGAAGTCCTGCAGTACATATATGCCCATTTACTTCTCTTTAACCCATTTCACTGAATGTACTGGGTCATAGAGACTTTGGTTTTTGTTTTGAGGTTTTCTGTGGCCTCCAACTATGCTGTTCACTGTATTTCTTGTGCTTCTCTTTGGGGCAAAAGGTAGAATTGCATTTCTCTGCCCCATCCATGTAACTTGCTTTGGTCAACACATTGCGAGCAGAAAGGATATGGGTGACTTCCGATAAAAACCTTAAGAACCGTATTTCTTTCACCCTGCCACAGCAATCAGTGTTCCTCCAGATGAGGGGACAGTGCCAGGCTGGGTCTGGGAGTAAGGACAGAGCCCAGCCACGCCCTGCTGGGCATGTGGCATGAGTGAATAATAAACCTTGTGGGGTTTTTGTTAATGCAGCATAAGCTAGCCTATCCTAACTGACAAAATCCATCAAAAGTAGAAATGCAGTTTAGTGACTATGCTGCTTCCCTTAATAAAATCAAACCCCAACTCTTGGCCATGGGGAGGGGAGGCCAGATCTTTCCCACTGGAGTCACCCACCTATTCGTTTGGGACACCCTCGGCCCTTGCTTTCCCCCTTCCCCAGGGGTGAGGGCCCTGAGATGAGGGACTTGTCTCTGCCACCTCTGTCTCCCAGCGCCTGGGAGGGAAGATTGGGAGGCCACTCCAACAGGCAGAGGCCTGTGGTGGGAAGTAGGGTGACCAGAGGAGCTGAGCTGGAGGGAGGCTGGAAGGAGCTGGAGCCTCCACAGGAAGGCCAGTGCCGGTACTGGGGTGTGTTGTGGCCAAGGGTCGGCCCTGGAACAGTGTGGAGGGTGGATGGGCCCAGGGCTGAGAACAGGCCTGAGGGCAGCTGGTGTAGCAGCCCAGGTAGAAAGTGCCAGGCCTGAGCAGGGAGGTGGTGGGCTGGAGACGAGAGGCCAGATTCCAGGGTCCTCAGTGGAGGCAGGTTTGGGGCCAGCTGGAGTGGGGGTAAAGGGCCTCCCTGAATCCCTGGTTCCCAGCTCTGGTGACTTGCAAATTGCAGAACAAAAGCATTCTGCACAGAGATGCTGCCGATATTGAGTGCAGCCGGCCAGTGGGCAGGTGGGCCTGACCCCCACCAGAGCTGGAGACTAGGGTTCCTGGGAGTGAGTGAAGCCTCCCTGGGGGCGGCTGTGCACACTCAGCAGAGCTGTCGTGTCTGAGCCTTGGGGACGAGCCCAGCACCCAGGATGGAGCTGAGGCAGCCTGAGAGCCTGGGGTCCCGGAGGAAGGAGAGAGATTCTAGGAGGTTCTGTTCCACAACATCCAGGAAAGAGCCCTTGGGCCGTGGCAGTGTGGAAGCCACCTGGCGAGGTGGGACCATCCAGGAGCGAGCCCGTAGCTGTGCCTGGAAGAAGGATAGCTCTAAAAGAGCTTGGCTGGGGGTGATGCAGGACCATGTCATAGCTCTTTGGAAAGGGCGTTGAGGCAAAGAAAGCACTTTAAAATCATGTTTATTAGAAGTTATTTTCTAATGCTGGAAGTAAGACATTTTGTTCACTATAGAAATGTGAAAAATACACATCACCACCACAAATATAAAATACGGTTATGAGTAACAGCCTAATGATAACCACTATTAGTCTTTTGTATCTAGGCTTTGAGTCTTCTTTCTGTATGTACACATATATGTACCCACACACATTTTCTTTTTTAACAAAATTAGACTCATATTCCACACTAAGTTTTGCTATCTGTTTACCAAATAAAGATGGCTGCTTCCTGACATGAAATATACTACACACTGATGACTCCTGAGTGGCATATTCCAAAGCATGAATGTACCATAAATTAAAGGAGGGGTTTCATCTGATGACGTGGAGAATGTTTTCATAGGCTGATGAGAAACTTCCAGAGGCAGTTCAGGAGATGGAAGGCCTGGGTGTGGGATGCCTTTCGGAGGGAAGAGAGGGCGGGGTAGGGTGGCATGTAAGGCACGGATGGGGAGGAAGGCCTTGGCCATTTCTAAAAGAAATTCCTTATCTCAGGAGACACTCTGAAAAGCTTGTAAAACAGATGCTCATTTTAAGAAGGTTGAATAGTTTTAAAAAGCACAAAGAAAATAAGTCCCTTGGTATCCTATCAGCCATTTAACATAAGCTGTGTGTACACCTGTCTATGTGGAAATATCCTGGGGAACACGGGAAGGTATGAGGGTGTCTGGCAAGGAGTCCAGGTGGGTGTCAGGCATAGCCTCCCCCACACTATTCCTGCTCTGCACAGGGACAAGGCCTTGCTCTGTGTCCAGAGGGTCATGGGTGGGAGTGCCCACCACTCACCACCCCTTAGCTCACTCAGGGAGTGAACACTAGGAGAGCCAGAGCTCACTCAGCTCCTGTTCAAACCTGGGACTCCTGCCCTGAAGGGAGTCTCTATACACTGGTGACCATCATCCTTTTCACAAGAAGCCTCTGCCTTCAAGGAGTTCACAATCTCATCAAGAGAGCATCTCATGTAGAGTCTGCCCCAGAACCACATCTGCCTTGCAAGGGTACGTCTCCTCAATCAAGTGCTTTATCTGAACTTGCTGGTCCTTCCTCTCCAGAGCACTTATACGATATAGGTGAGAGTTGTAACTTTTTTTGCCAGAATTTAGGAGTTTGAACAAAAGAAAGGAGTTCCTTTCTTTTGTTATGTCTATTATACTCACAGCATCCATAGGGAGAAACACACACATTTCACCTTCAGTTATATCACCTGAGCTTGTAACAGATTTCTACGCCTGGGGAAAAGGTGGCTTCTGGTCTCAAGGGCTTGTCTCCATCAAGGCTGGCAGAGTAGAGATGATGGAGAGAGGCTGGGTAGTGAGAGAATGGAAAGTTGCAAAGAGAGAAAAAGAATACAGGCCAGAAGTGTGCAGAAAATAAGTTCAAGTTCCAGGCTCCAGCAGAAAGGAGATAGAAACTTCTGTTGTGTTTGGTGTCTGCCTGGGGGAGTAGGGGTGACTGCCCTGTAAACTGGATTTCTTTTTAAGCTTATTTTATCAACACCTCCCTGGTTCACATAATACATAAATCAACAGATAATAAAATCTTACATCTTTATGCAAAACTTGTTTTTTTTTTTTTTGAGTTGGGTCTCACTCTCACCCAGGCTGGAGTGCAGTGGCACCATCATGGCTCACCACAGCCTCCACCCCCTGGGCTCAGGTGATTCTTCCACCTCAGCCTCCCAAGTAGCTGGGACTACAGGTGCGCACCAGCTAATTAAAAAAAAAATTTTTTTTTTTTGGTAGAGACAAGGTTTTACCATGTTGCTCAGACTAGTCCCAAAATCCTGGGCTCAAGCGATCCTCCTGCCTCAACCTCCCAAAGTGCTGGGATTACAGGCATGAACTACCATGCCTGGCTAAAAACTCTTTAAAATTATTCTAGTTAAGTAAAAAAGGTATCCTAAAATGTAAATAGATTATCATCTTTTATTTCCCCTCTAGGGAGACATTTTTAGTTGTCAAGGTTATCTTTTAAGGCCACCCGACAAGCAGTGCTCTCCTTGGGAAAGGACTACATCCCTTCCTACTTCACTGACAACTTCCTATACAGGGAGGTGGGATCATGCAACTCTCTTCCTCCCACCCCGCAAGACAGCACCAAGACCAGCGCAGCTGCTAGCACAAGGACCCCGCCTGTCCAAACAGCCTCCATTCTAGGAACCTCGCCCTGGGACAGTCTGACCACTAACAGGGCTGTGAAACAATCAGTGAAGGACCCCCCCACAGCTGAGCTTCCAGGTGCCATGTCCCAACCAACTGAGCAAACAGATGCTTAAATCCTAGATTTCCTTAAGTGCTAGGCATCCACATATACCAAAAGCACTTCCTGGCTTCTCATAAAACCAAACCCATTGCCTTTGGTTTAAATAAATGATTGCATTTAGCCCAGCGGTTGGGATCCAGCACATCACAGGCAAAGGGTCATCAAACAGCAGTGCAGAGGCAGCTGCACAAAGATCAGAAAGGTTCAGCACTGAAGGATCAGTCTGAAGAGTCTCCCAGACTCGCCTCCTCCAGTGGCTCAGGGACTCTTTTCCAAGGGGAAAGTGGGGAAGGCGGAGTGCCAGTCCTGTTCTGGTTCGCACAGGGAGGTCTGCTGGTCGCTCACTGGTGTTCGGGATCTGAAACCAATACAGGAAACTAGCTTAGTAGCCACTCCTGCTGTCCTGAGGTCTTTTTTTTTTGAATTGGAGCCTCACTCTGTCTCCCAGACTGGAGTGCTGTGGCCGCTCCCAGCCACTGCAGCCTCGACCTGCTGGGCTCTGGCGATCCTTCCGCTCAG